GACTTTTTGTGGTGTTTTGATCTTTGAGCTTTCCATTCTTTTGAGGTCTGAGGGCAAAGGTTCGCGAGGGATGGCAAAATTGGTGTTTGGAGATGTGAGTGTTTTTAAGTCCTCTGCTATGTCTTTTGTTACGAATTCGCGGCTTGAGGTACTTAGGCTTCGGCGGCTTCATAGGACACGTTAGTTTGATGCTTGGTGCTTTGCAGGCAGCGGGAGATGAGGTCGCGTCTCATTGTTCAGATCCAGATTTGGTGCTTTATAACCCGGGGGACACCTTTTTCTCCGGACCCCTCGAAAATTTATTGTTTTCAGGTTGTGATTTTCCATCCTACGCCCATGTCAACTTGCGCGACAACGTTAATGCTCCCAATTGTCGGCTGCCCAGCTTTGCGCTGGGAAGCTTTTGCAAGGCGATCGCCTGGACAAGTTTTTTGTTTCCTAGGATGCTTTGGCCGACCCCCTTTCTATGTTCCTAGATCTTGTGTAAGGTTAGGGTTCAGGAATAGTATTCCTTAAGATTCCCCCACAATGGATTTTTCTTATAGGGCTGCATCAGCCAATTGAAGGCCTTACCAGGGGTAGGTTTGATTTTTCGAAGTCTTTATTACCCTTTAATCCCTATATAATCCTTATACAGCCAAGTGTCATAGAACCCCAAACCTACCCTAGTTAACTGCAAGCTCTTTAGTTTGCGGCCCGTATGTGAGGGCCCCCCGCCCCCACACCCTCAAGGAATCCGCACGCTTCACACATCTTGCCCCAGTTGGAATGTAATGTTATATAACAGATTCCATTTCATTTTCCATTATCCTTATACAGTCAGGTCACCATCGATGTCCGTAGATCATCTTACACCTTAGTCAACTTGGGACTGCTGTATGTGGGCTCAGGGCCGACGGTTCAGGGTTTTGCATGGATCTGAATAACCAGGGTTTATAGTCCCCCTTAAGTAGATAGAATATGGGGTATATGAGGATCTTATTATCCTATACCCAAAGCCATATTCTATCTACTTAAGGGGGACTATATAGGGTTTAGGGTTTAGGGTGTAGGACCATGATGAACTTGGGCTGTGGGGCGGAAGGTGGAGGGTCCAGGCGGCCTGCAGGCCAATATCGGGAGAATGGAAAATAAAACGGAAACTGCTACAATATATTGGGGCTATATAGGGATAAGGGAAAAATAAAATGGAAGCTACTATCACATATTGGGGCTATATGTAGGGATAGCGGTAAATAGTATGGAAACTACTATAGTATTGGGGCTATGTAAGGATAATGGGAAATAGATTGGAAACTAATATAATACTATTCCAACTCAGGAAAGCAACGAAAGGACAAAGCAAGCTCCACGAGACCATCTGTTGGATGACTGCAACTCCTGTATGGCCATGTCTCAACAAAAAGGCTTTTATGGCGCCTGGAAACATCGTAGTTTCCGAAATTTAAGGTACCTACTGTTTGAATGTATCTCCACGCAAGCCCAAGCTGAGTGGGAAGCTTAAGGGTCAAAGTACCTGAATGATGTATAATGTGGGCCAACATGGGCTCCTATGCACTTCGGGCCCAAGTCATGTACTATTCAGATACTTGGACCATTAAGGAGTGGGAAACGGTAATGCCAGTCGCGGAGTCGAATGTCCTGCAAGCCCAGTTCTGCGCACGCGACATGGGAGCCTACCCAGTATTGTCTTCACAAACCGTGTATTTCTACGGATATCTGTGAAGTTCACATCTCAAGTCTCAGGGTCTTGGTGATTAGGATGCTGTTGTCTTCGCGGGCTCGGACTTTTTCATCTAGCTTCATTAAAGGCCAAGCGATCAAGGCCCTGGCCAGCAGGTACTTGAAACCCGAGTTTCTGTTGTATAGTCCCCCTCAAGTAGATAGAATATGGCTTTGGGAAAGTTGGAGTAAGATTATCATATAGCCCATATTCTAAAGGAAGACTATGCCTCCCCAAACATGAGGGCAGCGACTTTCCCTTGCAACCCGCGTTCTTGAAAACGCAGTCCTTCACACACCGGTTCACGGACCTGCGCAGGTGCTTTGGAATCGGAGGGAGGGGGTAGTCTACAGGAACAGCTCGCCCAAACTGCTTGGTCAGAGCATTCGGACTTGCGAAGCGGCTCGAGGCAGTGAACGGACCCTCGGCCAGCATGGCCCGCAGGAAGTCTTCACTGTCCTGGCCGAAACCCTGAGCACCCCACACCCGCGTTGCACGCCTCCTTGTTCGTGCAGCTGGGGCGCCAGCACGGAGGTGCGCTGCGAAGCCCGCGGCGAATGAAGAACTCGCTGGGCTCGCTGCGGGGTCTTGTGCTCCGGGCAAGGGGGTAGACTTCATTGTCCGGAATGTAGTTGATGCCACCCCGTTTGCTGCGCTCGACTCGAACGCGAGCCCTGAGCGTTTTTTCGCGCAGCTTGCCCAGCCGCTGGCACGTTTCCTCCACTGTTACCTGGGGCAGCAAGGTTTTAGGGAGGTTGCTAGGGCACCCGCCCACGCTGCGCGACTGGTGGTGCATCTCCAGGGCGGCAATGGCCTGTGTCAAAGGTCTTTCCATGTGGCTGTAATTTATACGCTAGGACTTCGGCAGGAGCGTGAGCACGCGTGTCTTGCAGGAGGCTTGCACTTCCGCCCCAGCTTAGGTTGCAGTTTGTCGGGTGCCTCCTGGTACTGCCGGTCCACTTCTGAGGGCTCCTGGTTGAGGTTTTTGATGCGGGCCAGACATGACTAGCAATGCAATACTGGCAAATTTGTCGATTTCTTGCCGGGATTCCGGCTCATGTCCCAGTTAGGCAGAAGTGTTGCCCTGGGCGCCGTCTCGGTCTGGCTGCCTTCCCGCGCCATAGATAGTCCACCGCTGAAATGCTGGAATGTTATGGCAGGCGCGCCTAGCTTCTGAGGCGCGAGGTTGCTGTCCCCGGCATCAAACACTTCCACTGTCAGCATGCTTTGACACATGAGGGCAGGGACCCTTGTTTTATATGTTTCAGCCACTCTTGTTCTGCGTTGGAGCCCAAAGGCTGCGCTTGCCGCGCACCCGTATGTTGGGCTTGGCTGGCACCACACGGAGACGAGCTCTCCTTGCCTTGAGCAATGGATGCTGCAGCGTGATGCTTGACTCACACGGATCCTCTTAAACATTGCAATCCAAGCTGTCGCTAACAGAGGTTAGCCCACCCGAAGCCTGGGCCTGAGGCCTCTTACCTTACCTAAGGTTTAGGGTTTAGGGTTAGGGTTTAGGGTTGACTTACTGGAGCCCAGTACGGAATGAGGGAATACTAGGTTCCCCAGAATAAGGGTACCCTTTTTCTTAATGTTCAGCTTTAATAAGGAGACCCGAACGTTAAGAAGGAAAAAGTGTACTAGTGGGGAACCTGGAGTATTCAAAAAGGACCGTTTAGGGATTGCATTCCCTTCTTTCCTACCAACCGACCACCAGCCAGTAGACCTCCCGAACAGCCCTCACCGCCCCAAAATTGAGATACAGAATGTAGGCTATGTCTGAAGCTTCAAACCCTAAACCCTAGGCCCTGGAGTCCCTAAGCTGACTCACGGAACCGCAAAGCCTGATGCTGGATGGGGTTTCCTAGAATTAGGGGTACCTTTTTGGGGATCCCTATAATCATTATCAGGATCTTAGTATTCTGGGGTCTATATTTGGGTCGCCTGTTTTGAAAGGCTATGACCCCCAGCTCTCAAATGACCAAGAACTATGACACGGACGTCTAACCTCTTGCCTAGAAGGTCCAAGTACCCAAAGAACAGGGCTCAAGGTCCCAAATGCTATAATTTGAGGGAAATGCCAACCCTCAACCCTTACCCCACTTGTCTTCGCTGGGCCACCACGTGAAGATCTGGCCGGTGTATTTTGTCAGGAGGCCTCAGAGGGTTTGGCCTACGGTCCTCGCACCTACTACGTGTCATACAAAAAGTCGCATGACCCGAAGTACCTTTAAAGCTCGGGAACTATGGTACGGTATACTGAAGAGATGCAGGATCATGGATGTTTAGTGTTAACAGTATCACAGTTCAGGCCTTCCAGGGTTGTGGAGGGTCATTTGGCTTTTAGAGTTTCAAAATTCGAAACTTAAGAATTAAGGAAATTTGGGAACCCTAAGTAATGGTAAGTTTATATGGGCTTGAGGGTTTTGGGTTTAGGCCAAGCAGCTATAGGTGAGGCTGGCATCCACTGGTGCAGTGCGAACACGGGTGTCGCGGAAGACCTTGACGTTGCCTGGAGCAGGGATTATCTTGAGAGAGAGAGAGAGAGAGATATATATATATCATATAACAAGTATATAAATATATCTATAGAGAGAGGGATACTACCACCAACAATGGAGGATCAAATGGAAAACTATGCACAAAATGGACAACAAAATGGAACGTCAAATGGAAATAGGATCAAGCCTAACCAGTTTTAGTCTTGAGTGCTAACCCTCGGGGGATTAGAGGCGTCAAGAGCCTTAGGTACCTCTAATTTTGGGAAAGCCCCACATGCTTCTGAGGATCAGGGTTGATTCGCCGAGGCACACGGCTCCGTTTTCTCTTGGGCAGACAGGCGGATGCGCGCCGACACGGCCTCTCTCGTTTCGGGATTGAACGAACGTTGGCGCAACTTTTTTTGTGAGGGAGGTGAAAACGGATGGGGTAGCACTGGGAATGGGCCCCGGTCGAAAAAGTTCAAGGTTTCAGCGAGTCACCATGCCAGCATGCACAGTAGCTGCTGCATATTCGTAAGAGTTGTTGGATAGTATACCATAATGCGAAGCATGAGAGTTCCTTATCTTTGGATACAAAGGTCTGACGCCTGCTGGCCTTGTTTCTCAGAGCTACCTGATGCCATTACAGCAACGAGAGCCACTACAAGCGAAACCAATAAGTAGGCAACCTCTAATTAACATCCTGTGTCGGATCCTTATGGATCCTTCTTAAGCATCCCATGCTAGCTTGAGGGCTTCCTCGGAACAGCATGCAAGCACAGAACACGACTTTTTGCGTCTGCAGACGGATCCACGCATTTGGCTTTTTCCGCCGACGCCTTCCGAAACCTCGAGATGAAGAAGCCTGCAGGCGATGAGGAATTGGGGTTGCTTGTGCGTAAGTTTGGGAAATAGTAAGCGGACCCTGGGCAGGGTGCTCCTTAAGAAGTGCTTAATACAATCTTCTACCGGCTTGTACGAACCACGACCCATCTCTTCAGCACCCCTTCTATCAATCCCCAAAAACGTGCATAGGGGCTGAAAGGTTGAAGCTCTAAGAGCCTCAAGGACCTTCTGAAGAGTTCTCGAAACCAGCTGTGGGTGAACATGGCGCGGGACATCCCTCATTTCCCCTCTCAACGCTGTCGCACCGAACTAGGTCTCACAACAAGAAGCAACCGCATAGGTATCTGTAGGCAGTGCTCCGTAACGCACTTTACTGTGACTGCAATGACCCCCAGAATAGAAAGCATTGCTTCGAGAAACCCTTGCTGTAAGCTGAGACTGCTACCTGAATCCTAAACCCTACCTGTGACTCCATTTGCCCACAGCTTATGAATTAGTAGGTAGAACCCCTAAATTGGAGATAAATGCGGCCCGGTAGGCCTTCAAACCCTTGAAGCCCCTGAACTTCTGAAAGCCCCCTAAACCCCAACCCCGAAACCGCTGGGAAGCTTGGCGCTCAAAGGCGCACCAGTACTTCAACAAGACATGTCAATCACCTCCCCCTAAACTCACTCAAGACTCCCACACCCCAATATTGAATATTCCCTGTGTAATGGGAACATCTAATATTAGGGGGTGGGGCTTTTTATTTTTTGTGTCGGGGAGGGTGGTTACGAGGACTCCATGGACCAGAAAAAAGAATCCATGAACCCGGGATCAATCCTAACAGAGAATTATTGGGAGGTTCCGTTTAACCCAAGCTCTATACTCGCGACCTACCTTGCACTCGATTCTGCTCCGTCATTCACTTTGCCTTTCAGACATTGGAGTCTAGCCGATTTGCTTTGCTCCGCCCGATGTCCCAAGGGGTCCACGTAGCCATGAGGCATGCGAAGGGATATATACTTATGGCCGCGAGGACTAGCATTTACTTACTTTAGATATGTCATTTGCGACAGAGCTACATGCACCCTTTTAGTATGTCATGTTCTCAGTGTTTCTCAGTGTTCTTGAAGAAGTGCGCAAGATCCGCACAACCAACACACGAAGAGCCCGACACCGCGGTACCGCTGATGCCCTTTGATCCACAAACCCTAAACCCTCTATATGAAATCCCTGCAATATCCCCAGATATCCCGTACTTAACGCCTGCATATCCCCTTTCTATAGCCCCTTTAAACCCTAAACCCTAGACCCTGAACCCGTAAGCCCTAAACGCCCGAAACCCTAAGCTTGCGGAAACAACCTCAACCTGTCCCAAAACCCCAAAACCCTTTAACCCTAAGTTTGCGGGACAAAAAACCTAAACGCGTCCCAACCTGCATCCCCCTTCTATAACCCCT